ACCCCCTCTTCCTCTTCTGCTGAGGGAAAGTGGTGAGAAGTAGTTGTGATGTTGCTCTTTTTATTGTTAATTTGAAGGATAATCATTTCCAGAGAAGTCACAATGTTCAGGATGTTCCCTGTGAATTTGTGAGGTGCCGTGGAGGTAGAGAAACGCCGTTGTTGTCATCCCGGTTGGTGGAGGCGCTCCTGAAGAACAGCTTTAGAAACGTTCCTTGCGGCTTCTTCGGGAAGTTTGTAATGTTCCTTCGGATCTGTATCTAATGGAGAAGCTCAAGAAATGGAAAAGTTTGCAAGTCTAATATTTTGCCTTATTAAAAAAAAAAAAAGTCTGAAATTTGACCATCAAAAGTGGAGTCCTTGGGTAAAACCTGAAATCCGTGGATGTGTTTGTATCCACGTGCATCTTGGCTGCCTTTGGAAAGAGCCGGGGTGCTGCCAGTGCCAGGCATCTCCCGGTGCCGGGCTGGAGCGGTTTACTTTTCCTTTGTGACGCAGGAGGAGGAAAGCTCGTTTTGCCAACTCGGTTTACGCTGCGCTGAGCTCTCGGCTTCTGCGCGCTGCCAGGTGGGACCTGTCGTGGGATCTCCCACTGGAGCGCGGCGGACAGGAACCGGGAGCCGGTGTTCCTGACAGTTCCCTGCTAGCGGAGCGCATGGATCCGCACAGACCCCCGAAGGGAGCGAGGCAGAAGGGCCAACTAGCAAAATAACAAATAACGAGGGATAAGGGGTCTTGTGCTTCTCGGAGACACCTGTAACATTCCGCCTGCGGCTCTTCCAGCCCATCGCTCGGTTGCTGCGAGGTATTGCAGGACTCCGGGCGGCTTCAGCTTTTTCATTCACGCTTCGGTTTCATGCTGTTTGTGGTGTTGGGGCTTTGCTGACAGGGCTCTTTCAGCAATTAGGGTTTTCCCAGGAAAATGTGTTAGGCCACAGAACTGGGCCAGGCTTTGTCACGTTTTCTTTTGCGATGGAGTACGGCATTTGCTTAAGGAATGTGCGGTGGCATCGCCCGATACCGGTATTGCTGAGCTGGAGCATTGTTTCGGAGATCAGCCGTGTCCGGTACGGGATGCACCCGCCCCTTGGCGTTGCAAAATGGGAGAGGTTTTCTTTCTGTCCAGCCCTTGGAGGCTTACCCGGCCGTGGCAGTCGTCCTGCCGTGTCGGCTGCGGACGTGGGTACCGATACGCCAGGTTTAAAGGCAGCCAGACGTATCGCACACGGGTCGTGGGGTGTAAAGCTGAGTTGGGTTCAGGAGGGTCAAACCCAAGGAAAGAAGATGTTTTCGGGCCAGTTTCTCTGGCTTAAGTTGTACTTCTACTTCCAGCTTGATGCAGATGACTTCAGGAACGAAGCCGTCCGGAGTCCTGTTACTGAGAACACAGAAGTGGGAATGTTTGGGTACAAACTGGCAAACTTGGGACTTAGAGAACATAGATACCCAGGAGGTCAGATAAAGACTTACCCTTTAATTAGGCCCCTGTAAAATCTAAATTCTCAAGGTACAACTCATCTTTCTCCGTTGTAACTGAATTTTAACGGGGTAGGGCTGGTGCAGCCTAGTGATGGAGTGTGGAAGTTCACCCGCCTGTGGACAGTGGATTTTCAAAAGGACCCTGAGAGATGCTGCGAGAGCGCGCCAAGGGGAGCGTGCGGAGAAAGCGGGATTTGTGTGTGGTTTGCTTTGGGAGCCGGACCGAAAGCCGGCAGGTCCCCTGGCCATGTCCAGGCCAGGAAACGTGCCTGTTAGGGGGTTGAATGACCCCGGGATCTCCCACACAAACGGCGATGAGTGGGCCCCGGGCAAGCTGGGTTGTTAGCAGTGTATGAACTGTGCTGACCATGGTCCACGGGCCTTTAATCCAGCGTGCATCCAGGCCTCCATGGGAAAGAGCCGTGCGTCCACCTCGGGGGAAGGTGTCCTTCCCACGGGCTGTTCTTCTGTGCATAGGTGCCCGTGTTCTGGTTTGTCCATCACGTACCGACTCCTGCAGCGCAGGTAGTTGCTGTCTTCCCTTTCCTCACCCCACTCTCTCCCCCCACAGCTCTTTTTTCATTTCCTTTTGGTTTTTGTAGGCTGGCATGGGGCACGAGCTTCGAGTACCAGCCCTTTCGAAGGGGACACCCCGGTGTACTCCGTACCGCAGAATTTATTATGGAAACACTGCATGTAATTTTGAAGTCTGCGTCTGCTGTGGCTTTGTTCTGCTGCTTAGGTAGCAAGTTTAATCACCTGGAAAGTGGGCAGCACAGGGATACGTTCCGTGCGCTACCGCCCCGCTTACCTCATTCCCTGCCTGGAGCGCTCTAACGCTCCCTGCTGCTGGGCAAAGGACGTCAGGCTCTGCTGGATGTGGAAAGGGCTCCCTTCGCGCTGTGCTGGTGCTCCAGGAGGTTTGTTTCCACTTCCTGTTTTGCTAAGAGCAGTGTGTTTCTGACCTGCCCGTAGGCTGAGCGGTGATTTACAGTCACCTCCGAAAACAGCCGGTGTCTTGGTGAGATGCTGAAGGTGACGGGTTTGACTGTGCTGAGTTTGACGTCTGTCCTTCAGGCTCCTCCTCTGCTACCTAAGATCAGGTAGTCCTGCCCTAAGCACATCCCTGTCCAGGTCCCTGAATAGGAATACGTGGGAGCACCAGGTGCTGCTTCAGATTGTTTCCTAGGAAAATTTCTCCTTCCCTTGTTTTAGTGTTCCTGTTTGTGACAGTCATCCCTTTAGTAACTTCCGTCTTCCGACAGGAAGTGTTGGGAAAAGTGGAGGTTTCGCTCCTTGGAGGTCACAGGGCCTAGAGACAAGAGCTTGGAAATGGGACACAAACCTGGGATGCTCCATTTCTGTTCCACAATGGCTTCAGCTTGAAAAAAAGAAAAGGGGGGCAGTGGTGTGAAATAGTAATCTGCACAGTGTACTTCTGCATCTCACTGGAATAATTTTCTCCTGCTGTTGGCTGTACGGAATAATCACTTTCTTCTGACAGCCAGAGGGGTGGGAGCAAATCTCCAGTGTCTGGCAGCCCTGAGCTTGTTGTTCTCTAACACCGGTTCAAGCACATTTCTTCCTCTTCTGAAAAGCTGCTACTTCTGCCTCTGCGGAGTCGCGGGCTCGTGCACGGTAGCTGGTGTGTATTGCTGCTCTGGGCTGCAGTGAAACACGAGTGCTGGCCACTCGCTGGAGAGAGCAGAACGGAGCTGTTCCCCTGCGTAGCCAAGGCGGCCCCTTGTCCCGATGCCCGAGCTGTGGTAGCTCCGTTTGGCACAGGCCTGCGGTGAGAGGCGATGGCTCGGCGGTCTCCGTCAGCCTCCGCAGCGTACGTGCTCCGCCTGGCAATGGGAAGGAGGAGGCAGCGGCGTGGACTGCACTGCAGCACACTGCAGCACTCCCGGACAAAGGATTGCCGGGAATCACGGCTGGCACTGCTGCCGGCCGCAGCTCGGAGACCACGTCCGCCTTGCCAGCGTTTCCTTGTGTGGCTGTCAGTCGCTTTCCCAGGGGCTTGGCAATTAACAGGACAACGGAATTATTAATCAGGCACTGATAACAAGTGATACTGTTTTGGGCCAGGCGAGAAAAGACCGTAGCGAGCTCACCTCTGCAGTGAGGTTGGAGGGGTTGCTGGCCACGCTCCGGTGTCCCCGGCTCCTGAGCAGCCAGGGTGGGATGCTGCGTCACGGCCTGGGAGCAGAGCTCTTGTCCGCTCTCAAACCCCAGCAGCCTCTTAGGGAGGAGGGGGATGTCTTCGGCCCATGGACCCGGGCGGTGCGTGATCCGTGCCTCCGGTACCCCTCGTGAGGGCCGTGCTTTGCAGCGCAGCGTGCGGGTGCTCCTGCAGCCTTGCGGGGGGGACGCTGCCACTCACCCCGTCACGCTGGGAAGCCTTTCTCCTTCAAACCTTGATCAGAGCTTGTTCGTTTTGATGCACAGATCCCCGTTCCTGTTGGTGAGCTTTGTTCTGGGGCTGTCAGTGCTCTGCCCCACCATGTCATCTCCAGGGATGCGTGACACCGAGCGGGGTGAGGGTTGTCCTTTGTTACGGACACCGTTAGCATGACAGCGAGATTCAGTGAATGTTCCCTGTCCACAAAATTATCCCGCCCAGCTTCGCGTGAGCTGCACGAAGCTTCTCCCATAGGGGTCCCGAGGCAGAAGGAGCCCTGTGTTGGCAGCCGCTCGAGCTGCGCTGACTGGCCCTAAGCCCAGGGAGATTGCTGGGCTTGAGCAGTGCCCTCTTAACCTGTCTGCATGGCGCCGCTCTGCTCTTCAGGCGTTAGTAGCTGTATCGCAGTGCCCGTTACAGTGCGAGGAGGAGAAAATACCGATTGTGAGACCAGGGGGCTCAAGGGTTGTACTGCTGGTCAGAAGGGTGTTGCTGGAGTCTCGGTGCCCATACTGGAATGATTCCTGGTGGTTCTGTGCCTGGCGCTTGGCTGAAGCTGTTCTCGAAGGGAACTGTCAGGGAAGGATCAAGTGCATCTTTAAAGGCTCCTTTCCCTAAGCGCAGAAAGGAAGCAGAGGAGTCTTTTTCCTCCAGGCACCATTATTTCACGGTGTCAGGAGGGAAGCCAAGCTGAGTTCGGGACTGCTGTCAAGTAGGGGGGTTGACTTTCAAACGGGGAGTATTTTAACAGGTCTG